TGGGTCAAACTGCCCCGTGGTGGCCCTGCCCCCTCTTCTCTTCATTGGCTTCTCCATCACCCCCTGACTTGCACTCTGCTTCCAGCTGCACGCTGAGCTCTGGTCTCAGCAGAGCTGGGGGTGGCTGCTGTTTGTGAACTGAGAGACCCCTTCTCACTGGGAGGCTTTGCCTTAAGTCCTCTGTGGCATGGAGCTGCTCTGTTTCCTGGTGCTGTTTCCCCCCACCCCCTATAATGGAGCCCTGTCTCCCCACAGGATGCTGCTGCTCACAGACTGGGTGCAGGAGCTGCTGAGCTTGCAGGGGACCCCCTTCCGTGTCTCCGCCGTCTCCGCCCTGCTCCTCACCCTGGTGGCCCTGCTCTTCCGCACCCTCCTTTGGCTCTGGAGCTCCTGGCACTGCTACTATGTGAACTGCCAGCGGCTGCGCTGCTTCCCGGAGCCCCCACGTCGCAACTGGCTGCTGGGACACCTGGGGATGGTAGGTGCCCTGTCACCTGGGGTGTCTTCTCTTCCCCTTACTTCTCCTTGTCATTGAGACATGGCTAGATCCCTGCTGGGAAGAGTCACCCTTGCCTACCCTGAGGGAGGGGCTAGCATCTCCTGTGCCCTGCTTCCAGCTTGTGCATGGTGGGTCACTGAGGGAGCCATGCTGCATGGCGTCCATCAGCCATGTGGGAATGGGGCTGGGACCCAGCAGGGTTAGGAGACCTGATTCCTGGGACAGCTCCACCTGGTTCTCAGCACATGCCTGGTCTGACCCCAGAGTTCCTGCTTCACAGCAGTGGTGGCCCAACGAGGAGGGCCTGAGCTGGAGGCAGAGGCATTGGCCACCCTGCTGCTCCCCACTCTGCTGTGGATGGGGCCCTTGCTACAGCTCCTGGCTCCAACCCTGGCACCGGTGGGGCAGGAATGGGGGGGGGGCAGCTTGGACCCCGGCCTCCTTCAGAGTGGGGGGATGAATGGCCCCCTTCCCCATCCAGGGCCCTGCACTCAGCTGCTGCATTCTCCAGGCGGGGCCTCAGGCTGAGTGTGGGATATGCCATGGTGGGTGACCCAGGACACTTGCCCAGTGGCAGGGAGCTAAGGGAACCATCCCTAGAAGCTGTTTCTGCTCCCCACTGGCCCTTTTCATACTCCCTGGCCCAGCCCCATGTCTGCCCAGCTAGCCAGCTGCCCCCTAGTGCCTCTACCTGCATCGGTGCTGAGTGTCCCCTGAGCCCCAGCCCTGGCGGCTTGGCTGGCCACTGAGTGACACACAATTCCCTGTGAACATCCTGAAGGACAGATCCCAGCCCGTCCCTTCCCCTCAGTGCAACATCAAGCATATGAAGGATTTCCTGCCCTTCCCCAGTGTAGGACTGGCACCCAGGGGCTTGGCAGAGACCTGGGGAGCTGGCTCTCTCCCAGCAGTTACTCCTGGGAGGCTGCACTGCCCAGCCTGGATTTCCCTCTGCTCCTGGTTGCTGCTTCACTCCTCTCTTGATATGTTCAGTGCAGGCCCTGTGACACCAGTGACAAGCTCTCTGCCTGAGCAAACCAATCCTTCCTGGCCAGCTTGGCTGTGCTCTGCTGGGATGGGCACCGCCCATGCCCAGCTCTCTCTTCTGGCCTTGCTGGCTGAGGTTTGGTTACTGGAGTGGGTCTCCGCTGTATGCAGAGTGAGCCAAACCAGGAGAGGCTGAAGTGCTCCTCTGATTTGACTGCCCATGTTACACAAGCCAGAGACTCTGCAGAGCTCCCTGGGGCTGCCTGGCAGCCGTTGCATGAGAGAGGCGAGTTCATGGGGCTCTTCCTTGAGCCTGGGCTACACAAAGCTGCAGCTGACAATCTTTGGAGGAGTCCAGCCCTGCCAGCCCCTGCTGCTCTCTGGGTCCAGGGACACCCAGAAGCTGTCTGCTGCCATAAGGGCATAGGGCAGAGTCTGACCCTACCCTAGTCAGAATCCTCCCTGGGGAGTGAGGAGGGCAGGTGCAAGCAGAGCACCTCCAGGGGCTGCAGACTGCAAGCTCCCCACAGCTACTGCTCCACCTTGAGAAGTGGGAAGATGATGCCCCTGAGCTGCCAAGGAGCCTTGGGTAAGCCCTCACTCCACCAGAGCCATCGCATCCAGCCTGCAGAGCTTAGCAGCTCCTCTCCCAGGCACAGGGCCTGTCTCCTACCTGGAGAGCCAGTGGTGCGTAGCTGGGACTGTGGCCCTAGCTCCAGCAGTGCTGTGCTCGGGGTTCCGGGCCCAGTGGGAGGGCTGGGGACAGGGCCAAAGGCACTGCCTGGCTCAATGCCTTGGGGGCAGCAAGCAGAGCTGCCTCCCCACTGCATGGTCATTAGTGGCCTTGCAAGAGCAGCTGGGAGGGCAGACGCACACGTTCCAGTGGCAGGGTGTGATAACCAGCAATGCAGGTATCCCTGGCTGCCTGTGCCCCCTCCCTGCTGCTCAGGGAGCACAGCTCCTGCCTGGGCAAGTTTCCCAGCGCCCTCAGTGCCATGCCCCCCGGGGGGTGAGAGGAGTCAGTGGGGGCAGGAGAGGGGGGAGGTTCTGCGCAGCTGCCTCCCAGCACCATCAGCACAGGCTCCTTCCTGGTGTGCACACTGCTGGGGCTGTGTCTGCAGGGGCCTGGGCGCACACAAGCCAGCAGAAGACATGCAGTGAGCTGAAGCCAGACTCCGCCCTGGCCTGAGGTGCCTGCTCCAACTTCTCCTGCCCCCTTTCGGAGGCAACGTCTCTGCTCCCTTTAATGTGCTTCAGCCACCCATTAGACCTGCTCCAGGAAGGCCTGAGCGGGGAAGCGAGCAAAGGGGGCAATTGCCCCAAGGCCCAGAGATTCAAAGCGTCTGGGCAGTGCGAAGGGCTGACTTCCTGAGGCCCTGCCCCTTCTGAGGCCTGGCGCTGAGCTCCTCCCACACCTTACTCTGGCGCCAGTGGGGGCTGCTGCCTGACCCCGCAGGGCCAAGGGAGCACAGAGCTGAGCTGGGCCTGTTTGCTCATTGCCTGAATGCAGCCTTTGCAAGGTGCTCAAGAAATTATTCTGGAAGCTTCACCAGAGCCCAGAGTACAGAGCCAAAGCAACCAACACAGGAAAGGGCCCTGCCACCATCAGCCCTTTCCGCGACCACCACCTCCGGCTGAGG